TTCTTTATATTTAATGATAACTTATTTACATCAAACCAGTTTTTTATATATTTAACTCCTTTTCCGCTGTAGTCAGAAGCTGTTCTAGGTCACTGGTGAAGGCAAGCTACATATTTAAATGTAATGAGAGGGGAAGACCCAAAAGTCTTTCGCTTTAATGTGCAGAAACATCATAGCTTAGAACTAACATTTGAGTTTGGAAAGCTTATATAAATTTACTTTTTGGTTCTTTGGTCTGTTAGCAATTTGCTGCAACACTTAGCAGCCTGCAGCCATTTATTGTTGCTAACTGACGGAACTCAAAAGAAGTCACCTAATATTTCAGCTGCAAACCATTTCAGAACACTTGTCACCTGCTATATATAGTGATATAGAGTAACTGCATGCTTTCGTTCTGAAAAATATATTGCCACGTTGTCTGAGCGCACACCATTTATTGCAATCTTTTGCTAATTACTGCCCACATACGCACATTGAAACCTTTTATTTAACGGGCATTGATCCAGTTTCTTGTATGGTGCAATATAATATTGGATTCTTTAATGGAGGCAAAGGTTGTCATCACTTGACTTGTGTTAACTCTAAAGTCACATGATGTCAGCTGAAGTAGCTCCATTAAGTGACTTACTGTCAAATGTAGTTCAAAGCTGAGGATAGTCAATAAACATGGATCTATATGCATCTGTTAATTTGTAAGTTTAAAGACAATATATAAGCTTAATTACTTTATATTGTGAAAATGTAAAACAATAGCAATAATCCAAACACCTAAATCCAGGCATCTCATAACAACAATTTGTTGAATATAAATGTATTCACATATAGTTTCTGAACGCATCTGTCGAGTACTTAACACAAAGACCCTTTCACACAGAAACATATTTCTCAGAAGACCTGTTAAGCAGAGTCATCTCTTGCGTACAGAGCCATTATAGCAACAAGTGAGAGAGCAGCATCTATTTTTTGCACTTGTAAATACCATAGACATGTGGCATATACGGTCTATGGTTAACACATTTAGGTGTGCTGCTACACGTACTCGTCTACTGCATCCACGCTTGGCCTCGTACACTTTTGTTTTCCTTAAGTCCTACTCTCTCACTGTACTTGTGTGTCTTGTGTTTTAGTCAGCTGAGACAAAATTGCTAAATTATTTTCTTTTTATTGAACCGTGTCATTTCGAAGAATTCCAGACATTTCAGGGAAAAGGTTCAGTTGCAAAGCTGCAGCAAGTACATCTGAAAAGCTGGAGAGAAAAATAACCTGCGTGGTTTGCTTATTTTACCTGTCTAAAATAAAGCATGCCTTCCCCTTTTCATTATTTTGAAGGATTTATTGACTTGCTTTCCATCTTATCGCTGCAAACCCAGCAGGCCTCATGCTAGATCAACTCCAATAAGCACTGGCATAAGATAATTGGATATTGACTCTGTCCAGCAAACTTTTTCTCTTGCCTCTCAGCTCCAGAAGCTGTCAAGTTATTTTCTTTTATTTTCACAGGAGAAAAAAACGAGAAACCAGCTGCAATCTCACAGCAACACCTGCTACCAGTAATTGATCTCCTTGGATTGTTTAAATTCAGAAAGCGCTTAAATTCAGGAGATTCTTGTCTGCATCTGCCAAAAATACTGACATATACACACACACACACACACACACACACACTGGGTTGTGAAGTTGTAAAATGCCACTACCACCTCAGCTTTCAAACTAAAGAGCAGGTAGCAACAATTAAGGTATCATTCTCACTCACTGTTACATGATATTACAGTACATCCACTTTATTTCAAGTGTATGTGTAGTAAAATATTTGCTTAAAATATATTTCTTTATACTGACTTATTTAGTCATTGAGGTAAATCCAAAACATTGCCTTTTGTTTAAATTCCAGTTAGATTTTGGTCTGAATGCAAATCAGTTTAGTCTGTTTTCCCTGGGTAAATAAAAACAGCTGAGGATATCCTCACTGCTGTATATTTCCTGTGTGCTACTGTGCTCTCTAAAAACCCTCTCATTTCTCTCTCTATCAAAATGTTTGTCAAACCACAAATTATGAGCCATTTCCTTTTGTTGTTGCCGAGTGCCACTAGTCAAAGCAGATGTCACTGACTGGCACCATGGTAACATTGGTTACAGTCTTGCATTAGCCTGGTAGGGAGGTGTATACTTTTTACTTAGTTTTTTTTTTGTCTTTATTATTGTAAAACTACAAAACAGCCCAGTCCAAATGAATGTGGTCTCAACTAGTTATGTGTATAAAGCAAACATGTCCACAGAGTCAATTTCTTCCATTCCAGCCACTCTGCCACTATGGGCCAGACCAAAGATCTGTCAAAGGACATCAGGGACATGATTGCAGCCCTGCACATGGCTGGAATGGGCCAGAAGACCATCAGCAAGAAGCTTTGTGGGAAGGGAAAAGCTGTTGGTGCGATTTCTCAGAAATGGAAGAAATATAAAATTACCATCAGTCGCCTTTGATCTGCAAGATCATGCCTCACGGGGTGAGGATGATCATGAGAAAGGTTGTGGATGGGTGAAGATGGGTTGTGAATTGGTCTTCCAGCATAACAGTGACCCACAATATAGTCTCCAGACCTCAAACTGAAAAATTCAGCATTGGTTCAAACAATTAATTCCGCCACTGTATTTCTGTTGATCTGGATAACCAAGTAAGAATCGTATGAAAATGAAAATGTCACAATGTCACTATGTTACAGTTTTAATTAAACTGATCCTAAGCAGGCCTTAACACAAAGGTCTTTGTTGTTACTTTTTACCCAAGCTTCACCTCTTCACTAAGTTTTATTTAAGCCTTTGTATCACCTTGCTAGCAAGTATAGCAATACACATGACAACAAACAGCAGTGAACGCATGCCTCCTCCTCAGTTCTTCCCTCAGTAAAGGAATAAATACAGCTCAGCTATTAGTATAGTGATCTCTTAGGTAAAGGGCTTTCTTGAAAAACTGTTCAGATTTCAAAGAAGCGACTGCTGCTACTGAGATCCCCTTGGGTACTTTCAAAGCTAAAGCAACCTGACAGGGAAAGCTTTTTAGTCTAAAGGAATAGACATGAGGTTTCAGTGCAGGTTAACAACTTAAAGTTCAGTGAAAACGATGCTGCAGGGGTTACAACTCTCTGTCCCTGATAAAGAACAATGAGTCACTTCAAACAGTGGAACTGGGCTAGCAGTGTTACGAAAGTGAAAACAACAATGCTGACTTAAATGCCCTCTTTAATGTTCTCTGCACCCAAGCGTTAGCATTAAAGCTAATGTACGATGTCTTTTTCTTTTTTACCCATTTAGTTTTGTGAATTTTGCTCAGCCTGTGACACATTTATTTCTTTCCCTCCTGTACGGCTGTACAACATCATGTAAGTGCAAATGTAAGTAACCCAGCTTGTCTCGCTTCTGCTTCATCTTGCTTTTCATTTTCAGTGCATTTCCAATCAAACGCTTAGTAACCATTTCTCTGTTATGCCACTGTGGACCACATCTGTAAATCCCATCTGCTTTGTGATTGAAGGTTCATGTTTTGAATCTTTTCCTCTACACATGATCTCTGACTTTTGTCTGTGCACAGATTTTGTCCCAGCTGGCTACAACAGTCTGTCTGACCACGAGCCAGTCGAATCACAGCAGAACAAAGTCAAACAGACTGCCTGCTTCACTGGCTGGAAATAAAATGCTTCCTCCTACTACCTCCTCACAGCCGTCTGGTTGACAAACAAATGCCACTTCATCATGACTAACTTGATTCGGGACCTGATTTGTCTCTTATTACCCCTTTAACTGCTTTCTGTAGAGGTAGGTAATTGAAGCCAAACATTTCTCTTGGACTCGGAACAAACTTTATACCCACTGTAAGTAAGTTGAGCAGGTCTGTGTTGGCATCGACGTTAGGTGGCGTGGCCTGGATGAGCGCCAGCTCTTGAAGGATAGCGTACAGCTGCTGGGTTTTTGCCAGGTTGACTCGTGTCTTCTCTTTGTCGGCCCAGTCTGGCAGTGCCACATGCACGGCTATCAGGTCTTTCAGGTGCACGCCAAGAATTGGGAACCGGAAGCCGGAGCATTCAGAAAAACGCTTGCGGTACTGACTGTAGTTGCCACATGATGTCACCAGTTCAATTAAGTTGTTAAAAACCTGTCGTAGAGTGAAAGGAATATAGGTTTGAGGAGCAGAAAAGATTGATTTGGAAGCATCACAAATGTTGTAGAAAACTTTGCTCCAGATGGACTTGCATAACTGTAACTCGCCCAACTGTTGCATTTAACTTTCTAGTCATGTGGCTCAAATTCATAGTTCTAAAAAGACACTGTGTAGGAGTAATGGGCACAGACAGGGAGCTTGGTACCGCTTACACAGAAGATGCTGAATACTCAATCAGGAAGCATTATCACTTATTAGCTCAGCGCACAGACATGCAGCGAACATTGAATTTGTCTGGTAGCGCCTGGTTGCGGTTGCTAGAAATAGATGACAGATGGCTGCAGCTACTGCACCTTGTTGGTCTCTGCACTGATGTGGGCCTGCGTGTCTTTGAGACGAGAGATGGAGCTGTTGCTGAGGCCGCCCACTACCGCCATGAGTGTATTGAAGTTCTGCAACTGTAGCAGCTTCTGTGAACGGAGGAGGAAGAAAAATTAGGAGTGAGGGTGAAAGAAGAGATATTTTATGAATGTGTAAGACACTGCCAAGAGCAACCTGGCCAAATTTTTTTTTTTAAGGCGGAGAGAGAAAAAGATAAAGAAGGGTGGTATAAGTTAGGAAAAAAGAAGACTTACAGGCAGTCAGAAAGATGCAGCTATGGAAATAAATGGTTACAGGGTGAAGAGACTTCTGGGTTAGATACTGAAAGAGTTTAGCAGGCCAAATACACATCCACACATAATCTGAATACCAAGAATTTAGTGAATGCTCTAACCTGTCTATGTCAAAGTTAGGCTAACTCTTTGTGAATGGCGCTCTGTGGGGCTGCTCGCTGCCCTTCAGACTGCTGGCATCTCAGTGAAAATCAATGAGGTCGCTGCTGCGTGGGAGGGCTGCCAGAGGGGATCATTTGATTCAGCTCAAACAACCTTTAGAATCAATTTGCAAAGCAGTATGGAAAGCAGGCCATCATCTGCAGAGTGTAGCTGCACCACGCATACATGTGTTCATCAGTGATGCCTGGGAAAGGTTTCACTGTCAACATGCCACACCTTTCCCTGTCACCTAAGAGTTAGCACACAGTGGACTGGTGATGCGGTATGCTTATCAAACGCAGGTGGAACATTCACAAAGAACACAATGTGCAATAAACTGAAGGCAGCCACGTTCACAATTGAATTTATAATGCAAGTGTGCAGTTGAGAAAAAAACACTAATGAGCATGAGTCATTTGTGATGGGCTCCCAGTAGGATGCCGAAATGGGACACAACCAGCAGAGGGAAGCTTTAGGAAATGTCAAGTGCAATAAGACTGCCTCCTGTGCTGCCTCTGAATACATCTGAAGCCAGCATGTGTTTGCCCTGGGATACATCAGAGAATATCAAAGTTTGTGGCATTTTAAATGGGCGGAAAATGAATGAGGAAATTTTGTGGAGGGTTTGATCTTCTTAGATGTGTATGCTCTAATTTTGGCCCACTCTTAGCCTTATTGGAGGACTTTGGGGCATAAATCGCCATTTAAGGTCATGCAAAGCATCTTAATCGAATTTAAGTGCAGTATAGTTTGTTTCAGTCCTGCATAATCCTGCACAAAGTGTGCTTGAGCTTCAGTGCACAAACTGATGGCCTAATACATTTGACTCTTCTAAAAGGTTCAAATTTTGTCTTGTCAGTCCACAGAATATTCTCCCAAAAATCTTTGGGATAATCAAGATGTTTTTCAGGTTTTTTTGTTTGGTTAGTTGGTTGATTTGGGGGAGGTTTAGATAAATGAGAAATCGGCCTCTGTGTTCTTTTTGGTCAGCAGTGGTTCTATCTTTCACGGCTCTGTACATTCAAGTGAGGAACTAGATTGTGTTAAGCTTTGCTGATGCATTGGACACATGTTTGCAAACTGGCTTCATTCACGGCACTGTCCCAGAGTCTGAATATAAAGAAGTTGAAATGTGTGGAGTTGGTGTAAGGTGTTTCATGGGAAAGATAGTTACTTTGGTTTTAATCATTAACTGCATAGACAGCCATGCACAATCATCCTAAGAGGACCAAAAAAAAAGGGAATTTAACACTAAGCATTGGCTTCATTAAAATGTCTGCACAGATCAGCTGAAGTTCTGTATTCATGAATTCATTCTACTTAATAAAGCCACAAATTAACCTTCACCAAACAGGGTTAGCTGTGCAGCTCATGTTACCATGGTTATCTGCTCTGGTTGAAACTGAGCCAGCTTTGTATGTGAGGATGTTCTCAAGCACAGCGGTCCTTTGACAGTAAAATCAGAATCAAGCCGTAATTTCCAGGGATGAAAAATGAAGCAAACGGGAAATGTGAAACACTGCAGTTCCTATAATGGCCACTTGAAGCTGGCTCTAAAAGTCAGACTTTACAGAATTAAAAAGCATAGCCTGGGACAGAGAACTGTTTTAACCTCTGCGAATCATTCTGAATGTGTACACATTTGAGCAAAGTAAGTATAATTGCATTATTGAACAGCCAGCAAAAATAAAATGAAGCCTAATGGCAAGTCATTCTTTTCAAATAACTGAAGAACAAAGAGTTCTCTGGTGATAGCAGTGAGTCAGCAGTGTGGGGATCACCACCGTTATTACGAAGGATCTCATAACAAACGAGAATATCCACCTAGCAGCTGGAAGGCTGTTTCAATCCACAACCACAAAGGCCAATGTGTATTCAACACAACAAATGTCATCAGAGCACATTACAATTCATCCAAGGGATGCACACTTCAGTCACTGCACTGCTTTAATATTGTGGATAAGGAAACACACTTTTTATTTTTGATTAGTATCAATCCAAATTAAACCACTGACAAATATAAAAGAGTTTAATTGGTGCACAGAACATCATGTGACCAGCTGACTGGCCAATAGACACCGCTGTTTGATGGCGATCTTTGGATCGGGCTGCACAGAAAGAGCTCATTATCCACCTTCTGCACAACCGAACTTTAGCTGTTCATCCTGTCCTCACCTCTAAAGTATCTAGCTCCCTGAAACACTCAAACAACCTTAAGTGTTCAGTTTGAAACACTTGGGAGAGCTCTGCTGGGCTTCCCCTGATAAGAACCCTGCAGAGGTGTTAGATTGCTGGCGTACCTCAACAGAGCACATTATGTGCGTCTAGCATGTGTTCTGCTGAAGATGAAATAAATGGAGAACGGGAGTAGACCTAAGCGACTCATAAAGATGAAAACAAACCCACACTAGACTTGCAGTAAGTAATGAGCATGCATTCACAGAGCACTGCAGGCTATTAAGATGAAAATTCTTTTTCTGCACTTTCTATGGCTGACTGAAGCTTCCTCTTAACGGCTTAGATGACTGAGTTGTCGCGTAGAGGGGAAACTCAGCCCATCTGGCAGACCGAACCAAGCGATAACATCAAGCTGAACTGAAATCAATTACAGAGAAGCCCCGGGTGCCACTTAAAGACATGCGTCTGTAGTGAAAGGACGACAGTCTCCAGACATATGATTGGAAAACCATACAGCGCAGCTAGCTGGCAGTTTCTTCCAGGAAATTGTGGAAGTATTAAGATTAAGTGAAGATTAGGATTAGAGCGATCATGACATGCAGACGACCATAACGCTATAGCGAATGAGTACAGAAACAGGAAGGTGGGCACAGTTTTCAGTCATATTTCTCTAGTTGGAAACTAGATTCCTCCACTACAAAACATCATAATAATATTAATGAAGCATTTATAGAAAAGCATTTAAAAAAAAAAAGAAATAATTGCAATAATTCTGTCAGTCAAGTGTATCTACAACTGTTTTGTGTGTCTGTTGTCTTTTTTGGCAAATGAAAAATGTTCAAAATACAAGTTTATGGAGGTAGTAAGAGAATCTTTAAGCATAAGTGTACAAAGGTAAACAGAAAGAAAAGTCAGTTGTCTGTAGCATATGTGCAAAATAAATATTTCATTTTTAAATATCACCATTACCATAAATATCATATTTTCCTGAAACCCCCTAAACTCAAGGCATGACTGTAGGGCAACAGGTCAAGCTTTATGCTAAAAACTCTGCTGCAATTTTTTCTACTCTGTGTGATGTAAATATGAGAGGATATTTGTAATATGGTCATGTCAGACACGCAGCTCTTTCTGCATCACAGAAGCCCACCCACTGTTTCCAGGGGTCAGCCAGTCAGAAGTAAGCTGACTGAAGCTTGTTTCAGACGGTGGATGCAGTCATGGACTGCACCAAGACTCAGCGTGAGATAAGTAAGGATTATTTGGTACTGTGAGTCACAGAGAACTACTCTGGTAAACTACAGAAACAAAAAAAAACATAGATAGCTGGAACTGAGCCCAAAGATCTCCTTTATTTTTAAAAGATGCAAAATTGGCAGCAGCATTATCTCACTGAGCAGGGAGCTTGAATGCTAATACCTCCAATGCCTTTTTTGAATTAATGTTCCCTTTTTCACACAGTTGTGCTGCTAATGGGAAATCCTAGTATATTTTGCATTTGTTTGCAAGTCATAAGAGATCCTCTGTGACTTTTCCACTTCTCTCTGCTCCTCCTGGTTTTCACAGTTGCTTCCAAATCACCTTTCCTGCTTTTTTCTCTCTGCCCCCAACAATCACCCACTAACACTCTCTATCCATGAACCCAGAACCGCCAAGCTTTCCCGATTGTAACAGACCCAGCAGACAGACCTGTGCCACTCGGATGAAATGGGAGATAACAGCAGCTCTCTGCGGGGCGGTGGGCTTGCTGAGCACCATAAGCTGGATCCATTGTGAGACGCTGTTAAAGAGCGTGATGAAGCGCTCTAAGATGGGGTTATCCACCGTGCAGCCATGCATCACAAAGCTGTGGTAGTCCTGAAACTAGAAGGAGAAGTAAAGCATTGAAAGCCTTTATCTATTTAAATTACAGTACATCATATTTACATCCCACAGCAATTCTGAATATTAGAAAATGCCTGACGAGAAACATATATGCAAAGGCCTTTCTCTTGTTTTGTATATATTCCTCTTGATTGTAGACAGTCTCCTATGTCCATACAGTAAACCTGGATATGCAGTTGGTTAGCTTAGCTGAGCACAGAACTTTAAACAATGAAATAACAAGACTGGATACAAAATGCAGACGCAGTCTGAAATGAGAAGTACCGTAAGCCTGCATTATTTCTAATAGTCAAAGCAGGCGGAGACTCATCTGTTTCCAAAAAGAAATATTATCCAGTATTTATAACCTCAGCAGATCCTTTCCCGATTCATTTATGGTCTGATTTGTTAGTTTCAAGTGTCTAATAGAGCTGCATGTCCAAGTCAAATTTGGATTCAAATTGCCACGAGACAGAAAACAATTAAGGTATTGACAACTTCCTATCACATGAGCATCTAATGCTGTATCAGTCCGATTAGCCCCACAAACACTGGATGACGCCATTACGTCTGTCTAATGCAATCTATGGGAAACAGCAAGCCTGGTTTATGAAATTATATTATTATATTAACTGTCTGTAATCAGTCAAATGCAGACAAATAATATTGTGTAATTACAGCTGTACTCGTTGTTAGATCCTCATTAATTCGATTTTTTGTTTCCTTTTAGGCAAAACTCTATTTTAGCAGAGCCATGAAGACAAAGACAAAAGAAACGCCATTAACACTGTCCCTACTGTGCCACGAGCATCATCCCACTGGAATAAATTATCAACAAAAAGAATCCTCAAGCGTTTAATTCTGCACAGACCCAGTCATTTCTTTTGCCTCCTGAAATAGCGCTCAAATTGAACACTATTTCCAGTCACTAAATATAATTACTGCCCAGTTAAAGTTGATTTTAACAACTATTGCTTAGCAACTGCAGTGAGCCTTGAATCATGTAAACACAGAGTTACTTGAGAATTTAAGAGCTGTAAACATCACAGTTTAAAAAAAAATAAAAACAGAGCCATGGTCACACTGACCAGGATCTTGCAGAAGGATTTGTATTCCAGATAGGTCAGGTGTTCAGCCAGTTCACAGGAGTCGAGGTGATCAAACAGCAGGGACATTTTCCTCTTTTTGGACACAGATGGGACACGCTGGGTCACCTGCCGCTTCCATTTATATGACGGCCTGAGAGGGGAGAAAAAGCACGGTTGTCTCTTTTAAGGTCTTTTGGAACTGCACCATAAAAAACTACACAAGGATCACTTTTATAGCCGCTGCAAAAGTTACAGCTGGCCTTTAAAGGCTGTTGGGGGGAAAAAAAGGAAAAACTACCATGAGAAAATGATGATAGTACAATGTGTCTACAATATAAAAAGCCCTAAGAAACCTCATATTTGTAGACTGAACTACAACTCTCCAACTATTGCTGTAGAAGTTATTTTTAGAAGGCTATTCCCCTGCTTATTCTAAGATATTCTGGCATAGAAATCAAATCAGCTCCACGAATTCATTTCCTTGGCGCAATAAAAGAAAGCGGAGCCATATAGAAGTGGCATTTCTCAGAAAAGGACAGGTCACTGGCCCTGCATAGCACAGCTCAGCAATTTCAAATAACAGGCAATAAAGGGCTTGCTGACATAAACATCGGCAGATGGGGACACTCATTCAAACTGTCAACAACACACGCAGCATTCAGCGGCCTATTCACTCACACGCTGTCCAAGTCAATGAGCTGACTCTGCCTCTCATTGCCCTCAGTGGTCAAGAGGTCTTTATAGTCTTTGATCTGGTCTGCCAGCTCCGGGTTCAGATTGAACTCTGCGGGAAACTCAGAAATCCAGTACCTGGAAGAAAGAATAAAGGGAGCGAGAGAGAGGTGAGCGTGATGGCATACACTGAAAGGACTGGGCTGTGGTCAACTCATAATTTAAAATAGCATTATAGTTTTGGTATTTGATGAAACAAAGCAGCTAATTGGAGCACATGAAGAAGACCATAGAAAAAACTAGAAAGGATAAAAGGATAAATGGAAATGACACTTGGAAAGATCAAAGATCTCTTAGAAAAAGGCAACGAGACGAGCAGAAGTCAGAAAAGATGGTTTGTTACTTGACGAGGTGGCATATTTTTGTTCGGCGCTCATCGGTGCAGCCATCCTCTTGAGATCTGATGCTGAAGTCAAGGTGCAACCGAGCTGCTCCTCGCAACACTACAACAACTTATTCAAAAATCTCATTTAGATTTCACAGATTTAGAAGGGGAACAAAGTCTGGCACTATTTCCATTGCTCTGTGCATTATGTGTGAAAAAAGATATATTCATAGGCAGCATTCTTAGAAAAACACTGAGCAAAAAAAACATAACATTTGTCACTGATGTAAGAACACTCAGAGGTGAAGGATACTTCAGCACAAGCTTCTTGGCCAGGTCAGTTGAAGGGATATACCAAGGGTGCATCATGAGGAACATGCGGACCAAGGATGCATCCTTCAAAGTGCCCTTCTCATCTATGAGGAAAAACAGGGAGTCAGTTAAGAAGATACCTCAGCATGTTCAATTTGTGCTTGTGTTTTTTATTCTACTGCCTCCCTTTACAAGCAGATGAATAATTCATATAAAAGAAATAATACTTAAATAACCAACCAAAAGCTTTGATGCAGGCTTCCACCAGCTCGTCCACAGTGGCAGACTGTTCCGATAATATGGACTCCATCGTAGCTGTCCTCTCGGTTTTCCCCCTCGTTTACCTCTCTGTGGTTTGAATCTGTTGGCTCTCACTGAACACAAAAGGAGATGAAAAGAGAGGGGAGTAATTATTAAGTAAACACAGGGGAAGCAAAACTTACTCTGGCTACTGCAGCACACTTAAAATAGCTGTGTGGTTAGTTCTTCTATATCCTGTTCAGCACTGCAGAGTGGCATATTCATTGCAGTAAGTTAACTGGGACATGTGCCTGTCAGTGTCATCTGATATGATGGTTAAGTATGGCCAAAACACATTCATGGTGTCAACGTGCAAAATCTGCAATCTACTTATAGAAGCACCTTTTAAGTGACCCAGTTTTCGGGGTTAACAGTTTAAAGTTTTTGCAGTCTGTTAGTGTTGTGTGTGGGGAAATGAGTTGGTGAATTAGGGCTTTAGTTTACAGGGAACAGTTGCACCAATCAGTCTTTACCAAGCCTGGTCCTCACTGCAAAGGCCGGGTCTTGATATCAGGACCAATCAAACATAAACCTAGTCTTAACTACACCTATAGTGCATTACTGAATATGAATAATTAGAATATCAACATATCCTAATTAGCGATCCAAGCTGGCGGCACTGAATTTAAACAGAAGTAAAACTGCAAACTTTTAATCCGTACTGCCAATCCTGTTTATTTCTGACTCCCTAAATAAGTCGTACACAGAAAACTGATCAGGTTCTATCCATGATTGTGTTTTTTAAATATTATGCTGTATTCATAGTGATACCTGCATGGATCTACTTTGCTAAGAACCAAAACAAATCCTGCTTTTCCTGCCTTTGTCTGGAACCCACTAACTCGAGAAGGACATCACTTCCTAACAAAGGTTTCTGGAATGCAGTACTAGTCTTAGCTATTTATATGAAGGCTCATGTGACTATCATTATTGTCTAACAGCAAGCACTGTGTTCCAAATTTGTCATGTTTGTGGCAACGATGAAGGAATAAACAAAAAAAAAGAAGGCAATACCAAGAAGCCAGGGATTATAGTCCGTTTGAGGTCCTCATGAGACATATACACACACCTGAGCGCAAAATACCTTCAGCTGAAGAGCATGAAGGCTACTTGTGTAGATCCTCACCCACAACAAGAACACAGACTTCTATTAGGGCCATTAGCATCTAGAATGCCAAGATATCTATCTATCTTCACCATCTACACTGCAGACTTCTCCCACAATTCCACCCAGTGCTTCCTGCAGAAGTTCTCTGATGACTCTGCAATAGTCGGCCTCATCACTGATGGGGACGACAAGGAGTACAGAGGACTGACTCAAGACTTTGTGGACTGGTGCCAGCTGAACTACCTCCAGATCAACGCCAGTAAAACCAAGGAGCTGGTGGTAGACTTCCGCAGGCACAAGCATCCTCCACTGCAACCACTGAACATCCAGGGTATGGACATTGAGGCTGTGAACAGCTACAGGTACCTTGGTGTTCATCTGAACAACAGACTGGACTGGACTCATAACTCAGACGCCCTCTACAGGAAAGGGCAGAGCAGGTTGTACCTGCTGCGGAGACTCAGGTCGTTTGGGGTGGAGGGCCCACTCCTGAAGACCTTCTATGACTCTGTGGTGGCTTCTGCTATCTTTTATGGTGTGGTCTGCTGGGGCGGCAGCATCTCTGCTGGGGACAGGAAGAGACTGAACAGGGTGATCCGAAGGGCCAGCTCTGTTCTTGGATGCCCTCTGGACCCAGTGGAGGTGGTGAGTGACAGGAGAACGGCGGCTAAGCTGTCATCCCTGTTGGACAACGTCTCCCACCCCATGCAGCAGACTGTGACAGCACTGAGCAGCTCCTTCAGTGGGAGACTGCGGCACCCACGGTGTGGGACGGAGAGATTTCGCAGGTCTTTCCTCCCCACTGCTGTCAGACTCCACAACAAAGACTTTAACTGAACAAACACACACATCCACACATGTGCAATAATACTAAGTGCAATAATCTTTTCTGGCATCGTTGTATTTTTACTCAGTTGTATATAGCATTCGTATTCTATTTTTATCTTATTGTATATTTTTATTCTATTTTATTCTACTGTATATAGTATATTATTTTATTCTATTCTGTACAGCTGTGTACTGTATATATTCTTATTGTATTCTAATTTTTGCGTCATAACTTTTGCACTGTCCACTTCCTGCTGTGACAAAACAAATTTCCCACGTGTGGGACTAATAAAGGTTATCTTATCTTATCTTATCTTATATGACCCACTGCTGCAACTGCTCCAGTGGTTGGTCATTTGCTTCTCATTGGCCAGACAATTGCTGTGATTACTTCTATTAAGCACTACATAAACCTTCCAGATGAATCCATAATTTTTTGCAAAAGAAGCCAGACTACTTTTGAAACTTGGGTTTGAGATCAAAACTACATCTGAAATAATAATTTCTTGTAGTCTGTTCCAAACTATTTGATGAGCGAGTTTTTAGCCGTTCATCTTGCAAACTGCAAATTCACAATAGTAGATTCCTGCTGACCAACGTTATCTTTGACTACAGCCTCATAGAAAATGTTTTACATTTTGATACACTGGTGGCAAAATGCAGAAACAATAGGTATTTGGACCCATGTGTGTAGTTTGTGATATAATCATTTTTAACAAAGATCTGATCAAAGCATGCAATCAAAGAATAAGAAAGTAAAAACGGACAGAGCAGCTGTTTTACTGTCATACAACACCAACACGCATGTCGATATTCAATTTCAGGTTTGAGGGCCATTCTTTCTTCACTCAGGGTTCTTCAGAGTTGGCAGATTAGGATTGTACATAAATGTACACTCACTGTATTCTTTTTTGCAAAGATTCACTTAAATCTTCTTTCTTCTCCATTCTGATGATAATTTTCAACTTCAGCAGGTGATCTTGACCAAGCTGGCTCATTAGATAGTCATGTTAACAAGCAATTAAACATGTTTACCCAAGGATACAGTCCACTGCAGCGAGTAATCAAATGACTATTTACAGCGTTAGCAGATGACCAGCTCTACTTCCTAAACTACAGACGCCCAATTTTTACACGATTGATTATAAAATATGACCCTTTTAAAATTGTTTTGCCCAGAAGTTTACATAAATATTTGCGTTACATCTTAACCTGAACAAATTACTGCTTCGATAATAAATTGTTTTCAGACTGCGGCAATGCTAGTTTTGTATCAGTAAAGAATCAGATCTATAATCCTGGCTGACGGTTTCATCAAACTAAAATCAGTTTTTACATTTACACACCAATTCTATGCTTTATAACTGCACTTTGGAGCCAAGCATAATAAACAGTTTTCACCGATGTGTGTGGCTTTTCTATCAGACAGATACTAAGCCACAAGCCCAATCAGCAGGAAACCACTATTTATCTTTTCCTGACATGCTGTAATGCTGTCTGCAGCAGGCTATAAAAAAGTTTGATGAATATTTACGACACAATAGCAAATATTTTGACATGCGTTTCATTCTATCACATATTCATAGGAAACAAGCTAAAAATTTGCATCTGTGCTTTTCTTGATTTGGTAAGGTCTGGCTCCAAGTAACCATGGCAACAACAACTTAATGACCAGTTATTTTTTAACAACATATACACACCTGAGCACAAAATACCTTCAGTAGAAGAACAAAAAAACAATTTTGGAGTAATCCCAAATTCTTTACTTGTGTCTCGATCAGTAAAATATACCATCTTCCAAGTTATGACATGATTAATTGGTCAAATGTATCCATCCATCCATCCATTCATTAAAGAAACTAGTAATTTTGATTCATTTTTATATAGCCCCAGATCAAAACATTGACGGCCCAGTGCAGTGAAAAAAGGATTTGCCTTCCCTCCTGATTTCTTACTTTATTTCATATTTGTCACACTGAAATGTTTCAGCTCATGAAAGATAATTGTAGTATTAAATAAAGATAACCCAAGTTAATCTAAAATGCAGGCAGACAAAAGGCTCCAAACCTACCTGGCCCTGTGTGAAAAAGCAGTTGCCCCCTGAGCCTGGTAGCACCACCCTTGGCATCAAGAACTCCAATCAAGCTTTTGCAATAACTGGCGAGGAGTCCTTCACATCACTGTGGAGGAATTTTGCCCCACTTTTCTTTGCAGAATTGCTTTCATTCACCCTCATTGGAGAGTTTTCAAGCATCAACAGCTTGTTTAGAGTCATTCTTTGACAGTCAGATTTTGACCAGGTCGCTCTGAAATCTCTGTTTTGTTTTTTGGGAATTCTTTGAGGCTTTAGGAGCTGGACTTGCAGATGTGTTTCGGATCATTGTCCAGCTGCATAATCCAAGTGGGCCTGAACCTCCAGGCGCAAACTGATGACAGTCTCCTGCAGGATTTTCTGGCAGCAAAATTCATGGTTCCTTCAATTACAGCAAGGTAATTGAAGGAACCACCTTCCAGGTCACGAAGCAGCAGTGTCTGACTGTTGGCGGGATCTTCTTTTTATGAAATGCTGTGTTATTTTTATGTCAGATGGTTCTTCCCAGTGTCTTTCTTATTACTGAATCATGAACACTTTCTTTTAGTTGTTCTGGTTTCTTTCAATTGAAATTATTTCTAAATAAAAAAATAAAAAAGGGTGTGGCTGTAATCAGGCCTGGGTGAGGCTAGTCAAACTAATTTCATGATAGATTTTTTTTATCACATAGATAGATAGATTTGAATAGCTTTTTTTTCCTGACTGAATGAAATTATTATTTAAAAAATATTTGATATTTACTCTGGTTGACTTTGTCTAATAGAAAAATTTGTTTGTGGTCTGTAACATGTAGGTGTGAACATTTTTTCATGACACTATAAGTGTAAAAGTGACACTAAGGTTAAGCTCAAGTAACAAAGTTAGGTAACAAAGTCCCCAACAACACACTGTGCACTGCTGTAACTTTATTTTAATGTGGTGGCTCTGTGAGTGTGAGAAGGGTGTGATGTGTATGTGTACGTATCCATTGTGCCTGACACAATGAAGCCTTTCACTGCACTGTCTCTGCCGCAACGCGGTGGGTGGACACACTCAATTACAGGCTT